CTAAACTCTAAACCCTAAACCCTAAATCCCCAAACCCCTAAACCCCTAAACTTTAAACCCCTAAACCCTAAATGCCTAAACCCCTAAACCCCAAACCCCTAAACCCCTAAACCACTAACCCCTAAACCCTAAACCCCTAAACCCCTATAACCCTAAGCCCCTGACTGCAGGAGAAGCCCCTGCGCCTCTTTGATGGCGCCGACGCTGCGTCTGCGCCTGCAGCCGCGCCGTGTGTCAGCCTGGAGAGGCCTGGTCCTGGGGGGTGGTTGAGGAAGTTTAGGGGGTTGGGGTTTAGGGATTTAGGGTTTAGGGATTTAGGGTTTAGGGTTTAGGGGTTTAGGGATTTAGGGATTTAGGGTTAAGGGTTTAGGGTTATATAGGGGTGGTTGAGGAAGTTTAGGGGTTTAGGGATTTAGGGATTCAGGGTTTAGGGTTTAGGGGCCCTCGGCTCAACTCCGCAGCAGTTCCTTTTTGGGAGTCCCTAATAGGGTTCTATATATGAACCCCCAAAAGGAACTACTTTAGGGCCTACGCTATTCCCTAATAGGGTTCTATATATGAACCCCCAAAAGGAACCACTTTAGGGCCTATGGGTACAGCGTACATGATGTCAGGGCGCACGCTTGGAAGCCGCAAAAGTTGGCCAACGGAGCGCCTGCAGCGCTTGTGATCCTCAGGGCCCAAAGGTTTGCCCATAGGCCCCATAGTAGTTCCTTTTTGGGATTGCCTAATAGGATCCTACATATAAGCCACAAAAAGGAACTACTATGGGGCCTATGGGTACAATCGAGGTTCATTTCTCAAAGCATCAGATCATGGCGCGAGTGCCGTGCGGCACTGTTTGTTGATGCGGACATGTCCTGTCCCACCGTTTTCTTCATGTGGGTAGTTCTCTAGTTTGGGGTCCCTTTTTAGGTTCCCAATATAGTACGGCACCCTTATAAACAGGACCCCAAAAGGGACCCTATTTCAGAGAACTGCCCATGTAGCGGTGGGTTTATGTTCTCTGCGATTAAGCGAGTGGTGTTGTGCATTCGCCCTCGGTTCTGGAACACAGTTGTTCCTTCTGCATTTGGTTCGCGCCTTTGGATCGCCGAGTGCATGCCCTCGTTCTGTGCTTAGAGTACATCTTTCCGGGATTGGCCGCACGTGTTGTTTTATATAGGTTTGCGGACTGCTGTTACACACCGGGTGGGCTGGTGCATATCTGAGCACGGACTTCGAGAGACGTCACTTAACGCTGTGCGATGCGGCATACTCTCCAGGCCGAGCAACACCTGAGGATGCTGGTAGGGTTGGCACACAAGCTGCACGATCTAGTTGTACCCCACATAACTCTCGTGACCATGGCAGCAGCATTAAGATTTGCAGCACCCCTTTGGCCCTCAGCAACAGACCCGATGGCAAACTCAAGCTCGGGAACATCAAGTGGCCCAGAACAGAAACTATGTACTTTTTTCCTGCGAGGGTTCAAACTCAAATCTGACAGCAAGCTTGAGTCGAAGTAAACAAGCTACGCCCTACAAGGTAAAGTTTGAACCTTAAACCCTAAACTTGCTCCCCCAAACCGGTTAGATAGCCAAAACTCGGAAGCCTCAAAATTCAACCCCTAAGCCTTAAACCCTAAACCCTAAAACTTAAACCCCTACACCCTAAACCCTAAACCCCGAACCAGGGCCCAGTTGTCTGCCGATCGCCTCCGGGGCGCTCTCTTCGGGGCGCTCTGTGGCGATGCGCTGCTCGGTCGGGTTTCCGGCTCTTTCTGTTTAGGGTTTAGGGGTTTA